CAAAGTCTTTCTTCTTCAGTTTTTCCTCAAGTTGCTGTTTGTCATTCTCTAAGTCCATCACACTCTCCTGGATCAGTTTCAGGTCTCCTTCAAGCTTCCTCTTTGAGCGCTCGAGGTCCATCCTGACTTTCTTCTCTTGCTCCAGTGACCCCTCCAGATCATCCACCTGTTGCTCCAGCTTAGCTTTAGCTTTGGTTAAACTGTTGGCTTTGTCCTCTTCGCTCTGAAGGTCGTCCAGTGTCTGCTGGTGAGCCTCCTGCAGTGCCTTCTTCTCTTTGGTCAGCTTCATGATGTTTTCATCCTGAGAAGCCATCTCCTCCGTCAGGTTTTTCACCTTGTTTTCTGTGGCGTGTTTCTCTTTTTCAACCTTGACTAATGTCAGCTCCAGATCATCTATATCTTTCTTTAACTCTGAGCATTCATCTTCAAGTTTGCGTTTCTTAGCTGTGAGGTCTGCATTCAGCTCCTCTTCGTCTTCCAGTCTTTCTGCCATCTCTTTCAGCTTGGCCTCCAGTAGTATTTTACTCTTTATGAGCTGTTCACAGCGTTCTTCAGCATCTGTTAGTGTATCCTGTTCAGACTGAATTTGCAGTGTCAGATCATTCTTCTCTTGGAGAAGAGTCACTATTTTCTCCTCTAGTTCCTTCCGTCTTGCTTCTGTTTTCTCCAGAGCTTCTTTCAACTTGTTAAACTCATCCTTCATGTTGGCCATCTCCTTCTCTGCCTCAGCACTCTTCAGCAAGGGTTTGATCTTGAAGAACAGCTTCATCCAGGGCCAGTTCTTTACACCAAGGAAAGAGCGAAGGTTCCACTGGATAACCATCAGAGCATCTCTGCGTTCCACTAGTTTAGCAAACTGCTCCCTCATGAGAAGTGCCCGGGCATTAGCCTGGATCCTGGTAATGATTCGAGAGAGTTGCTCATCTCGCATCTCTTCCAGTATTCCCAGCAGGCCGGCTTTAAAGAAGACTTTGGTGTGACCAAACTTGTACTGAGTGTGGTCAATGTCCAGTGATCCCAGCAGCTTTTCTGTACTTTTAGTGCAGTCAATAAACTGACCCTCAGGAATAGCAGAGGGATTCAGAATCCTGTACCGTTGTTTAAAGTCACCATACAGCACCCTGTTTGGGAAGCCCTTTCTGCAGATTCGGATGCCTTCCAGGACACCGTTACAGCGCAACTGGTGCATCACAAGGCCATTGTCCATGACTCCTGGAGTTTTCCTCTCATTAGGAATCAGACAGCGGACAAAGTGAGGATGCGTGGTCTTTAGGTTGGTCATCAACTTGTTAAGGTTTTCCCTGTGAAGAGCTGACACTGTCTGGAATGAGGATCCTTTCTTCTTGGTTCCTTTTCCACTTCCCTTGTCACCACCACCAGCCACTGTATAATTTGAAAACAGCAGACTGAGAAGTTTCAAAGATGATTTCTGGTAAAGACCAACCACAGTTTCATTCAGGGGGTCTTTGTTTTTGACCAGCCAGCCAGTGATGTTATAGTCCACAGTGCCAGCATAGTGGACCAGGGCAAAATGAGCCTCTGATTTCCCTTTTGCTGCCCTTGGTTTCTCAAACATCTTGTTCTTGCCCAGATGATTATCATAGAGCTTAGACTTAAAGGTCTGGTCACTGGCCTTAGGAAACATACATTCTTCCTCCAGAATTGACAGGATCCCCAGAGGCTTCTCAATAAGGTCAATGCAAGCTTGTAAATCCATCCCAAAGTCAATGAACTCCCACTCAATGCCTTCTTTTGTGTACTCCTCTTGCTCCAGAATGAACATATGGTGGTTGAAAAACTGTTGCAGTTTCTCATTGGTGTAGTTGATGCACAGCTGCTCAAAGGTGTTGAAATCAAAGATCTCAAATCCAGCAATGTCCAGCACTCCGATGAAATACTGACGGTGCTGTTTTGTGTCCAGAGATTGGTTGATTCTCACCACCATCCAGCTGAACATCTTTTCATACACTGACTTAGCCAGAGCACCAACAGCATAGTAGACTTGGTCCACGCCTTGGCCCTTGGTGACGTACTCATTTCCTACCTTGACTCTGGGATGGCACAGGCCTTTGATGAGGTCAGCAGAGTTTAGCCCCATTAAGAAAGCTGTCTTATCAGCCGCCTCTGTCCCGTCAGGTTCAGCCTGCTCCTCACGCTGCTTCTGTTTGAACTTCATGTTGCCATAGTGCATGATGGCACCAGTCAATTTATAGATGCCCATCTTCTCCTCTGGAGTGAAGCCAAGCACATCAAAGGCATTGTCAGTGGCCATCAGCTCCTCTGAGTCATTGATAGAAGCAACTGTTACCTCTCCTTGGGAGATGTAGGCGTAGTCGTATGGGTTGTTGGTGACCAGTAGCATGTCCAACAGCTCTGGCTTCTGATTGGACAGGATCTGGTAGAAGACATGGTAGCTTCTCTCAGCCTTGAGCTGAAAGGTGACACGTGACTTCTCCAGCAGGTACGTCTCAATGTCAGCAGATGCCAGTTTTCCACTTGTACCAAAATGAATTCGTATGAATTTTCCAAAACGAGAGGAGTTGTCATTTCTTACTGTTTTAGCGTTGCCAAAGGCCTCCAGTGCAGGGTTTGCCTGGATGATCTGATCCTCCAGCGTCCCCTTGCTGCTGTCTTTTTTGCCTCCACCACCGACCGCAGCGATGCTGGCAAAGTACTGGATGACCCTCTTGGTGTTCACAGTCTTTCCTGCTCCGGATTCTCCGGTGATGAGGACAGACTGGTTCTCCCTATCAGTCAGCATGTACTGGTAGGCATTATCAGAGATGGAGAAGATATGAGGAGGGGCCTCGCTTCTCTTCTTCCCCCTGTAGGCTGCCACCACCTCAGTGTTGTAGACAGGAAGCCATTTGTAGGGGTTTACAGTGACACAGAAGAGCCCCGAGTAGGTGTAGATCATCCAGGCTGCGTAACGCTCTTTGAGGTTAAACAGCACAGCAGGCTCATGGAGGAAGGTAAACATCGCCATGTCTTCAATTTTATCAAATTTTGGCGGATTCTGGGGGTGAACATCGGACTCCTTTACAATTACCGTTGTTCCATCCTCCTTCTTGACAGTCACCGTCCCTCCGTCTTTTTTCAGGATTTGTCCCTTCACAAACTCTTCTTTATCATCAACAACAAAGCATTCGGTCTTGATGTCAAAAGGTCTGGTCTGAGCTTCCAGACGCTCTTTGTCCGACTTCCTCAGGTACGGAGCAGCCTTCCCAAACTCGGCCATCAGAGTGTCACCCATGGTTGAGGGTGGAGGTACACGGCAGTCAGAGGAGAAGACAAAATGAGAGAGAGTCTTTTCTGTGGTGATGCTGATGTAAAACTGCAGACTCTTCTCTGCAGGCAGACTTTATAAAAACGCCCCGAGGACCAAATTAGGACACAACAGCAGACTAAATGTGTCCTGGGACGTTGCTAGACCACGAGGGCAGAGTCAGGACCTTTGGCTGTTAAAGTCCATTTTAGGAAAAGCAGAGTTTTGCTGCTTATCCGCCTGCTGATAGAGAGTCCTGACACCTCTCAATTTAGAGTCCACTTAGCTTCTTCTATGTCCTTACAGGAACAATGCTGATTCTGATGTTCATCCAGTTTCTCATTTGGTTTAATCCCTGCAGTGATTTCTGACTCATTTGGCAGCAAAACTTGCTTTAAACTATGGTTTCCAACCTGTTAAATACTATTTATTATATTATATATTTTTTTTGTGTTCAAAAAACATTTTTATTTCATTGTGCTTGGTTGACAGTGTAGATCTGTGTACAGTGTAGAAAAGATCTGACAAACATTAAATGGTTCTTAATTTAAATTTCAGTGAACAGAGAATTAATTTTAAATAAAACCTGAAGCAGATACAGGCAGAATATTTAATGAACACGTTATCGGCAGTAGAAACATCACCAGACCAGGCTTCAATATTTTACCTCACTTGAAGAACATTTGCTAAACGTCCCCGCTTTTTCATCTGTGCACCATTAATCTTCATCTTAACTAATAATGAAAATCCATTATTGAGTTGTAAATCTTATTTTCTGCAGCAGGTACCAAAACAACAGAAACAAAACCAAGATGAATCAGTATCTGATATAAATTTATGACATAAGGGAACAATTGGATTGTATCCCTGCTGTTTTCATTTTCCCTGGAGGTTAAACATAAATGACTTGTTAAAACAGTTTTCTCTTACGTTTGTGCAGTGTTTTTCTTTTGTCATGTAGAGTTTTCACTTTTTATTTTTCCACAACCTGCCCAGTGCCACAACTTTTGATTTGGTGCTATACAAAAAAAACTGAGTTGAAATCAAATTGAACATCAATTTAAATTTAAGTACAAGGAGGTTGTTTAGTTTTTTATTTGTAGTTAATAAAATATTTGTGTTGACCTTTATGTTTATCCATGGTTTTATGTCCTATGTTATAACAAACCCTGAAACAGTGTCCAGCTGCAGCTCTGTTCAAAGTCAGTTACTTTAAATTTTTTCTGAAGATGAAATAAAATCTGTTAAATATTGAAGCATTATAATGAAATATTTCAGAGTTTGGGGTTAAATGCTGGGCCCAGACATGAGGCCTGAGGACTGACTGGAGTGTTTTTGTATCGTTATCTCCGACAGCCTGGACTCATCAGCTCTCACCCTTCAAATAGAAACCAGAGACATTCAAGTCTCTACTTCATATCAGACCTCAGAGCCTTTATCAAACACACCATCATGTGGACGACACTTCAGATTTAAACTAGCTGTCAGAAGAAGTAACTGGTGATTTAGCCTTCATTCTTTCTCACTGTTCCTCTTTGCTGGGTTTTGTCTGTGCTTCTGAGTAAAAGCGATTCTGCTCTGCACAGAGTTTGTACCCTCACACCAGTACACAGCACTTTTCAGTGGGGATTTACTGAGTGTGTGTGCTGAGGCAAACTGTGTTCTGTGTTTCTAAGTCTCTTTAATAAAACTTCAGTTTGTCTTCAAACAGCAGCCTGTAAATCTGGACCAGTGTGGTGCTGCTACACGCTACTGAAGGCAGATGAAGTCCAGTTTGGTTTCAGAGGGCTGACTGAGCAGGTGCTGCACTGACGTCTGCTAATGATGAAGGTCGTGACACTAACTTCATTTATTGACCAGTATTACCAATGGAATACCAAGTACTCTGCTCGTTATCCGGTGTTTCACTGTGTATTTCTTGAAAACATTTTATCAGAGTGATTTTATTCTGTATCTTTTTCAGGTGTTTCCAGTGAAAATGCAGCCGGTCAGTAATCAGGTAAGTCAGGGTAACACTGGTCATAGTGATTCAGCAAAACTCACAACAGGAGTCGTCTCAGGACGCTTTACACTTTAACTCTCTTGTAAATGTAAAAGTCAGAAGAAGATGATAGAGGAGCAGCAGAATAACTAAATTAGATTAAGAAACAATCAACAAAAAACAAAAGAAACAATTCTACAAAGACTCAGCTTCAGAGTTTCTTATGAGCTGTCGTTAGTTTATTTATCCATGTGTGAAGTTGTTTTCCCCTTTATTTGTATAAAGTTCTATAAAAACACCTGAAATTTAAAAGAGGGTTTATTTCAGTTTGATGGAGAAAGTTACCTGTGACCTTTTCACCTATTGTTGTTCTCGCTGCCTAAAGGGACGAAGCAATGCCCTTTTTGTTTAGGAGAAAAAAATACAGTTCTGCTCTATTGTAATTTTGGTGAACTGACCCTTTATGAAGTTAAGATGCATCGTTTCCACTTTAATTTGATTTAAATGGTTTCAAAACAGCAGCGTGTGTGTGTGTGTGTGTGTGTGTGAGACATGATCAGAGTTTAAAGTGTATAACATGAAGAACATGTGTCACTGACTGTTCACACACCGTCATTAAAATAGCAGCTGTTATCAGAACCTCTGTCCTTCAGCTGATAAACTGACACAGAGTCGGGTTCACTGCAGAGAAAACCGTTAATAAGTGAGCAAATTCAAAACGAAGTCTTGAAAATCAGGTTGTTAAACATTCATTTATCATATAAAAGGTTGAAATACGTTGAAAAGTGTTCTATAAGTTAAAATTATTTTAGATTGTAAGAGAAACAAATGAGTTGAGCAGATCAAACAATTTTAATTGTGTTAGTTTAGATTTGTGTTAATTTTTAATTTAAACATTATCATTACACATCAATCATCATTAACAGACAACAGAAAAGTGTTTTTGTGTTTAATTCTTGGTATTTAAAAAACGGATCTACGGAAGATTTACATTTTCTAAAATAGAGAAATAAGAATTATAACCATCAAACTAATCCAAGGCTCTGACATTTAGAGACCCAACAGATTTTAAAATAACATATGAAGACGACCACTGGAAAGAATGCAAACCTTGTTTACAATGATCGAAAGCGATGGATAAAAAAACACTAGCTGGCAGCGGACTGATGGTGTTAGACCCTGTTCATGCTCATTGGACAGAGTAAAAGTCTATGAAAGAGGAGAAATGACAGTCACCCCATGTCCACAAATGGTAAAATAGCTCTTTATTAACATCTGGATTTTATAAAAAAAATCATCAAACACTGAACATTGATCGTGTGCAAGTCACATTCTGTGTAAACCTGTGCAAGTCGGAAATAAATCCACATCTTTGGGAAGATAAAACATTCATCACTGGAGAAAATCATCCGTGCATCACTTTAAGAACAAACACACAAACTAGATTTATTTATTTTGTCCACCTGTTTGCAATCTTCACGTAGCAGGGAGAGGAACCGTGCTGGGTTCTCCACTGACTCAGAGGTTCTGTTTTCACAGGAAACTGGATCTCTTTGGGTTTTAAACTGTGAAGATGTGAACAACGTGTGTGAGAGATAATTTCAGGACATTTTATAGGCGAATAATCAATAAACTAATCTGCAAATGACTGACCTGCTCATGCACACTGTGAACCTGTGAGGAAGCTTGTAAACTGAATTGTCCTCAGTGTTCTCCACATGTTTCTGTGAAAACTCAGGCTGAGCTGGGTAGAAGTATAAATGTCTCCCTGTGGACTGAGGAACACCTGCTGTGACCAGTCAGTTAGAACAAAATGCATCTCCAACAATAACCTGAGTCATTCTTGAATCAAAAATACAAACGTGAGATGGATCCATCTTCTAGTTTCTGGGTTTTGGACAAAACGAAATGTTTAATGGTGTCACCTTATGCTCAAAGGCTGATAAACATTTTCCACATTTACAAACATCATTCAGCAGATTAACAAACCTAATCCTCATCGTGTGCAAAAAGAAAACGAATGTCACTGAGTTTCATTTGAATTCAGACACTAGTTTTAATAGTGAAAGCTGATGCTGAACGTTGATGATTTTATATGTGAACTTCAGATATTCCAAAGTTTTCTGTTTTTGTAAAAAACTGAGGTTCAGCTGCTGAGAACTATGGAGACCCGTGTGTTCTCTGTTCCTCAGGCCTGACTACTGATCCTTTTACCTGCTCCTAGTATCTACAGTGTATGTGTCTTTATTCTGTTTCTCCGACAGGGAGACGGGACTGGGATCCTCTGCAGACGCTCACAAACACAAAAGAAAACACCTGCTTCAGGTGAGTGAAGCAGAAGAGAGTGAAACACAACCGCACTGTTAGATGAGAAAAAGGTCCTCTCCTGCTCTCATACAGCAGTCACACGAACGTCAAGTCTTTTTTAAATTTACACATTTTAACTTAATGAAAAGCTCTTTTTAATAACTTATAATAATAAAAAGTGTATTTTAAGATCCCCCTGTTTGGTGAACAGTCACAGAACAGGAGATCAAAGGTCAAAAGTGAACCAGGAAGCAGCATAAAGATGAATGTTCTGTGATCACTTCCTTCTCTCATGTGACAGGTGTGTTTACAGTTGACATCAGCTGCTATAGTGTAAACAAACTGTCCTGCAGCTGGAGGTCAAAGTTCATGGCCTGAAGTGACTCTGTGGCCTTCAGTGTTCAGACTGATAGCACCCTGCAGTCTTCAGACTGATTTCACTCACCCGATTGGCTGACAGAGCTCTGACAGGTAGCGGGGGTGGGAGGGGCTTACAGCGACACTGGTATGTGACTGGATGTTGACCTTTTTAGTGACCACTGAGAAAATGACCATGTTTCTCAGGTGGTGAGTAGAAAGACGTCCCCTGAGTGGCTCTACAGGTATCGTCAGGTATTCAGCAGAGTGACAAGCGTTTGCGGTACTGCTCCACCAGTGGCACCAGGCAGCATGGGGATCCAGCCTGCAGCAGGAACAGGTGCCTCAGTAGGTCGGCGGCGCTGCTGCGCTGCAGTGTGTCACGAGTCAACATGCAGCCCAGGAAGTCGTTCAACACCGGAGATACCTGAGCACACAGTATGGCATCATGAGGTACTGCCAGGACAAAGTATGACATCATCAACTACTACCAGACTGATCAAAACCTCACAACCACCTGCTAACTCGTTAGCCAGTTAGCCTTTCTGTGCCATTCATTCAAATCACTTTGTTAAATTGTTGAAAACTTGCATGCAGCTGTGTTCACAATACTTTTAAAATTTTTAGAGAGGTTTAGAGGAAGCTGGTCCTCATAATGCATGTTTTAGTCAGGGGCTTCACAATGTCTTAAAGACGAAAAACTGTGTGTGCTGTATGTCTGACCCGGTGGATGTTCTTCACGCCCGGTGCTGCTTCATCTCTCAGCTTCTTCATGGCGGTGATGGGTGTGTCATTGAAATACGGTGGCTCTCCATCCACCATTTCTATCACCATGATACCCAGAGACCAGATGTCCACCTGAAGGCAACAGGAAATGGTCAGGGGTCACCTGGGACCAGAATTCATCAGAATACATACACAATCACCATTTATTCATCATTTGTTTAAGTTTTGATTGGTGACAGTCCTTCTTTCTTTGAAGACCCAGCTGTAAATGTGTTTCCAGACCGAATCCCAATTCAGGATCTGGACCTGGATGCTTCCTTGTTGTTACCTCAGTCCCATATGGCATTTTGGAGATCACTTCAGGGGCCATCCAGTACGGTGTCCCAACTAGAGACTTCCTCTTTGGGACATCTTTACTGATCTGAGCACAGAAGCCAAAGTCTGACAGTTTGATCCATAGCATGTGAGAAGAAGAAGAAGAAGAAAAGGAGGAGGTCAGCTGGTTGTTATAAATGAGTCCAGTAATTATTTTTATTTACACTTTCCATCTCACTGTTATAATGATGCCCTGGTCTTCAGTTGTTTAAAGAACTGTCTGAGAGTTTAGACTTGGATCAACAGCTGAGCTTGGATTAAGATGAAGCCTATGTGTCAGTTGTTTAAAGAACTGTCTGAGAGTGTAGACTTTGATCAACAGCTGAGCTTGGATTAGGATGAAGCCTATGTGTGTGTGTGTTCCCTGGTGGTGGTTTGTAGTTGTATTACCCTCCCATCCAGTGTTAGCAGGATGGAGTCGCTCTTGATGTCTCGATGAATGACTCCCTGAGAGTGGAGATAGGACAGTGCCTGCAGGACGCCTTCACACACCGTGGCTATCTGCTCCTCGTTCAGCCTGAAACACACAGAAACACTGTAAAACAAAAACAACAGAGAATCTACCAAGAAACGTGTGTGTGTGTGTGTGTCTGTCACCTGGTCTCACTGACAATGTGGGTAAGAGCACCACCCTGCAGGTACTCCATGATTACCCAGAGCTCCTCCTCCACCAGAGCACTGCGGTACATCTCCACCACGTTCTGGTGCTGGTAGTCCCTCATGATCACCACCTGAGACAAGACACACAGGGACAGATGAACTGATGACATCCCAGAGGGACAGGTGAAGCTGCTGCTGATGTTACTGTGCTACCTGTACCTCATTAAAGAGCAGCTCTCGACGCTGTTGTTTCCTCAGGTCCATCATTTTCACAGCCACCTGTCGCCCACTGTGTCTCTCTCGGGCGATGCAGACCACACCTGTGGACCCTTCCCCAATCTTCACAAAGTTCTCGAGTGTGATCCTTGGGTCTCCTGGGTCCACTACCATCTGAAGCGCTGCCTTAAACTGCTCATGGGTAACCTTCTGAGGACCTTCATCAGGTACCAGCTCGGTGGAGGAGGGCCCATGCCGGGTGGATGGGTAGACCGGGGATCCAGAAGGGGAGGGGTGGGGCAAGTCGTTGTTCGGGGTGGTCTGTGTTTTTGGAGTAATGTTGATGGTGGAGGAGGGGCAGTGAGGGTGCTGAGGTAAACTTCGACCTGAAATGATGGGACTGCTGGTGCTGTTAGGGGGTGGCAGCAGCAGGTGGGAGGGGATGGTGAGCTGGGGGAAGGAGGACACGAGCACTGTCACATGCTTTCACTGTAAAAATCACTTCAGTGACAAAGTACTGTTACTGAGTAGTTTACAGAGGCTTCAGAAAGTGTGTTAGAGATTTAATCTGAACTGGACAAAGTCACTATGGGTTACTGCTCTGTGGAAAAACAAGTACTGTACAGTGCCAGTGCTGTTTCAGACAGTTTATGTTCTGTGTGCAGAAGAATCTCAGCCGAGCAGCACTGATTTGTTGTAGCAGAGTTTCAGTGTTTGATTCTGAGTCTACTGTAAACTAAGCTCAGCTGACGGGAGTCACTGGGAGTTATGGGGAAATAAATGTCAGTGCAGAATCAGATTTTCTTTTTTAATAGAGGGACATGAATAGCAAATGCTCGAGCTCACTGATCAACATTTTATCTGTATTATACCTTTGCGATAAGCTAAGCTAACCAGGTTCAGAGTTACATGAGAATGGAACCAATCTGTACTAAGTGTATTTGGCTAAATGTGTAACTGTTCTTTCAAATGGCGTGGCTTACCTTCGGGTTGTAGGAGGACTGTGGCCTTCTGGGAGTTTCTGTGGAAGAGGAGAGCAGGTCAGGCAGGTGATTAACACCTGGTTTCAATCTCAGGTGAGGCTTGTGATTGGTCCTCACAGATTCCCGGTAATAGAGACAGGAAGTTGGCCTCGGTCTTAGACCTGCTCCCTCACTACTTGCACATGTCTCACTTTTCTCACCTGTCCTCACAGGTGTCTCAGGTATGGGGGCCGTGTCCCCAGACCCCACCTGGCCACTGGACTTGGCTCTCTGCAAAACTCTGTTCAGTTTGGGGCTGCCGCTCTCGCTGCGGACCTGTCGGATCCGGTCCTGCCAGTAGGTGGAGCTCTCGCTGCTCTTCCTGCCGTCTACGTGGTGATTGAGCTCCTCATACTGATACATCCTGTCCTCCACCAATTCTCCCAGTCGACCCAGTGACCTTGCGCGTTTCCGTGCCGATGGACTACTGCGACGCAGAGAGTTGGAGCTGGTGACGGACAGACGGGTCATCTCAGAGATCACATGGCTGATGTAGTCGCCATGACCAATGAAACTGCCACGAACAATTGTCTGTGGGGAAACAGCAGAAACATTCATGTTCAGTTTTAGAGGGATTCAGTTCATTGAGAACATATGTAACTAGACAGCACTCAGAGTACCGACCTCCACCAGGGGCAACTCAGTTTCCCCATAATGTCATAAAAGGGATTTGTACTTGGAGTGCGGCTGCACACGTTGGCCACAAGGTAGCTCACATACAGTCAGCGGCCTTTCCAGCACTCACACTGGTGAAGAATAATTTCAAATATACCTGTATCCAAAATATGATACAGATCAGTACCAAAATCTGATCAATTTTTCCGTAGGCCGTACCCTACCTGTCCAAAATATTTCATCCAAATCCATTCTTTACTTTTTGAGCATTGCTGTTAACAAACAAATGCTGGCAAAAGCATAACCCCAGCCCTTGGTGGAGGTATAAACTTGACAGCTGCTCATATGTTTTGTATGTAAAAGTCTTAATCTGTAAAGTAACTGCAAACGTCATGTAGCTCGGTGTTGTTAACAGACGTGGCTGTAACAGACTGATCATTTAAACACTGTATATCTTTAATCTGACCTTCCTGGGCTCCAGCTCGACCTCGGTGATCCTGGAGGGGTCCACCAGTGGGCTCGGCCTCCTCAGTGTGTCGATGACACTCTGCCACTGGAGTGGCAGGCCTACATAGTGTCCTGTGGCAGCATCGAACGACGTGTGGACCCTGTGCTGGAAGCCCTGTGGTGCCGAGATCTCTGGCCTGCGCTTCTTCTTTCTGCGGCGGAACATCACCACGGCAATGCAGCAACACCAGGCGAGAGATGAGAACTGAGGGAAACAACAATACCAGGGCTGCTGCTGATTGAACTGAGAAATGAAGGTACACACACACACACACAGTGTTTTCATTCCTTGTGGGGACTTTACATTGACTTACATTCATTTCCTATAGACTTATCCTAACCTTAACCATAACCACTACTTGCCTAACCCTGACCCAAACACCTAACGTTAACCTAACACCTAACCTTAAACCATGCTGCCACCCTAAAATTCACTGATTGCCTTGTGGGGACCAGAGGCTGGTCAGATAGCGGAATCCCCACAATGTGTGTGTTAACAGGTTTTGGTCTTCATAATGCAAGTAATACAAAGGCACACGACACACACAGTGTCAGGTTCAGCCTCTCTTACTGTTCAGGTGGTTTATCTGAGCAGAGTCACATGACCTCCACCTCCTCCCTCCTGTCAAACACAAACTGACCCAACAGCCCAGGTGAGAACTCACCTGTGTGCATCATTAGTGACAGCTAGCTGCAGGCTGTTTATTCACACAGGAGAAGAGCAACGACGATTATAGCGCCATTAAATCTACTTTGACTGACAGGGGCAGGGCTCAGTCTTTTTGCTGCTCTGCATGTGTCACAGTTGTAAATGCTGTTGCTTGTGTTTTGTTGCTTTGTGTTGCTGCAGGGCTTATTGTAGTAATGCGTAGTTCAGTGGTGGAAGAAGGACTCAGTCTTTACTTCAGTAAAAGTAGTAATACCACAGCCTAAAAATCCTCCACGACATAAAGGTACTGTTACAAGTAAAAGTCCTACATTCAGAATGTTGCTTAAGGAAAATTACAAAAGTATCAGCATTCCAATATACTTAAAGTACCAACGGTACCAGTACTCGTCCTGCAGAACGACCCGTGTCCCAGTAACGTCTCTGATACTGGATCATAGTGACTAATTACTGTGTCCATCACTTTAATGCTGCAGCTGGTAAAGGTGGAGCTGATGGTAACTACCTTATATACTTATACTGGGAAGTACTTTCCATCCTGCTGGGTAGCTGGTGGATTTCCTACTGGGATCAATAGAGTCTGATGGTTCTACTGGGTTTGGTTTGATTCATCTGATTCTGGACCTGAAGGTATCAGGTACATGTAGTGCAGTAAAAAGTACACGGTTTGTTCAAGTATGAAGTAGCAGAATGTGGATATACTCGGGTACAGTACAAATACCTCAGATGTGTACTTAGGTTCAGTACTGAGTACATGTGTTTGGTTCCTTTCCACCACAGCTGCTTCCAGTTCCCTGCTGCTGCGTGTGGCTTGTCCACTGTTGACAATGATTGTGTTGACGCCTTTACGTCATCTTCTGTCTCTACTTTTTCTCTTCACTAGTTTCAGCAACGTGTCAACAAAGAGCTTTAGCTGAAAAACTCAGACACAGATGTTGTCTTCTGTGTGTGTGTGTGTGTGTGTGCTGTCCTCGTAAAGAAATAACCAAATCAAATTAATAAATGGTGTCTACTTTAAAGAACAAGAACCTGGCACCATATTCTAAACTTGTCATTTAACATTAGCACAAGCCTTTTACATCTTTTCATATGTTCATGTACACAGTGTTAAACTTTTCCTCAGCACTCGAGCTGTTTTTAAGGTGCAGTGACAAACATTTAACTGAGCTGCAGTGAATTTTCAACCGTCTCACCTCCGCGGCTACACAGGTTCCTTTTCATAGTGTCTTTGCTGTTGTTCCATTTTATCGATCCACACTGAGCTTTAACATTTTTACATCGCTGCTTAAAATGTGTATTTAGGTCTACAGTTAGTTGTAACTGATTTGGTTTGATTTGGTCTCAGTTTCACTGTAGCTGTGTTTTGGTCTCAGAAGTAGAATTAATGTTTAATTCAGCGGTGGTTTTTCTTCTAACAGGTGCAGTAATTAAACAGTTTTTAATCTGGATTCATTTAACTCATTCAAACTCATTTTGTTTGAATGAAAAAGACTAAGACGAAAGGTTTTACATTTGTTATTCTCTCACAGTGACTTTGTGTTTCTGTAAATTCTACATTGATTTGAACTGAAGTGAATGATCCACATTGAGTGGTAACGCTGTACACCTGCCTCTCTCTCTCTCTCACCTGTGTGTGAGTTGATGTCTCTCGGCCTCAGGTGAACCAGGTGAAGTCCTGTTTGGATTAGCTGCGCTCAGTCCGGCTCGGCCTGGGAACAGAAGGGGAGAAGCGATGAAGTCGAGTCTCCTCCTCCTGTTTGCTCAGTGGGAGTGGTGGAGGATGTGATCCGGCCAGAGCAGGAGGAGGAGGAGGAGCAGTGAGCTGATCTTCCTCTCCTCTGACTCTGGATCAGTGTCAGCAGACGTGATGACAGCTGAGGTCAAATTATTGTTTAACTTCTATCTGTAATTAGCTTCAGGGGTCAATGTACATGTACACACATACACATACTGCACATTATGTGTAAATCCATGTGCACAGACTTCAGACCAGCAAGCTCAATGTGCTAACGTGCACATAAGAACATAAAAAGGGTGTGTTCATGTTGATTTATCCAGGTCTGCCCTTGTGAAGTCTGTTTTGATACGAGTTCTATAAAACTAGAGGCATGATGCAGCTTCACTGCTGCTAACAGCTCGCCTTGTTTGACAAGTCATTAAACATGCGTGTGCTAAAACAACAGAGCTGTACATAAGGACGACAGCTGTGCTGCAGTGTGAAGACCAGTGTGAGGAGCAGACACAAGTCTGATATGCACACAGGTGTTACAGGTCCACCTCAGTCCACATCTTCCTGTGCTCGCTCCTCAATGACTGACACATCAACACTGAGCCTCTGTGTGTGTTTCTGTCTGTTACTGGTGGATTGGCAGAGCAGCAGTGACTCACACCATAGTCACTGTGCTCATATGTCACTCTAACAAATGCATCCTTTGTTATAATACAATTAGATTTTGAGGCTCAGTGAGTCTCAGCGGTGTTGGCTCTGATTGCAGCAGTGCCAGGACGTTAGCTCACAGAAGGAGGCTCCGAGGTGGGCCTGCACCTCACAGTCAGCTGACGCTGGGGCTCAGCCTCCAGCTGCTGTGGTGCTCCATCTTAGCCAACAGTCAGTCTGGCCCTGAAAGATAAGATGTGATCCGTCGGGATTTATCTGAGAAGTGGCACTGCTCTGAACAGAAACGCTGCAGAGCAGAGGTTTTTCCAGGGGTAGGACGAGCTGGGGGCTCCTGACCAGCCACATACAGCAGGTCACCTGGGGCTGGAGCTCCACAGCGCTTTATTAAATCTGAGCTCAGTAAGGACAATGTTACATTGGCCCTGCGAGCTCCAGCTCCATACAGACACATACACAAAACACAGCTGAACACTAAAAACACTGAAACACTGCAAATAGAGTCCATACTTGGTTGTGGTTTCTCACTTTGCAGCATTTGCTTTGTTGAAGATGTTTCTCTACTTTGCATGTGCTCTTCCAGCACACAACGTCAGAGCATTAGTAAACGTTCTCAGATCTGCTTCTAGTTGCATTCTGGTCTGTCACAAGCCATTTCTTTATACCCTGGTTACACAGGCTCAGTGGAGCTTTAAATTAAATATTAACCCTGAGACAAATCTACTTATCTCATTCAGATAATGAGAATGAGCTACACAAGTGAAATACTGTCAGGTTATCATAATGCTACTATGCTACTGTTAGCTCTGTTAGCTTAGCTTAGCTCTGTCCACAGTATCCACATGTGAGAAAACCATCACCTTAACACATATGACTCTCAGGCATGCTTCATATTTCCCATGGGCACACAGCACATACAGTACTTCTAATGAATGGACTGAGCATTAGACTGGCTTTGGTTTCTAACAGAAACAGTCCGACTCCCAGTAAACAAACTGGGAGAACCCTGACACAGGAGAACTGTTCAGCAAAGGCTGCGATAATGATTATTTCAATGAGAATTATTTGATCCTAAAGATAAAATACCTAAAGATAAAATATGAAGCTCAACCTGCTGAACAACATTAACGAACCAGGTGTTTTCAGATTCCCTCCCTGCTTGATATTTGAGACTCAAAGTTCACATCGTGTTTCCATGAAGTTTGGGTATCTGTTGGTGTCAGGCCCCTTCACTTTACTGAGCTGTAAATGGACAGTTTCTGTCCATCAGTCTACCCTCAATATGGTTTTAGACATTTGTGATAGTTTATTTCAAATCTCTTTATAAAATCTTTATAAAACTATCCAGAGCCTTAGATCAGGACTCTGTAGGACCCCCTCTGGCAGCAGTTTTCCAGTCTATCTGACAGCTTAGACTTTGGCTGGGCACCCCCAGGGACAGTCAGAGCCTGGTCCTGAAGCTGCTCCAGTGTTGTTGTCCCCCCCAACTGATAGAGACTTCCTGAGATGCTTGTCCTCCAGCAGTGTGTCCATCTCTGCAGGGCTAACCCTAACCCAATGGGGCTGAGGCCGCTCCAGTGTCTGGGCTGTGTGCCTGAAAGGTGAACCCTTGGCCCAGTCTGGTTTTCTTCTGTGTCTGGCTGCATTGATCCTGCCCTCAGGTATGACCAGTCTCCCTGCCCCTGCTGCTAAGAACTCCGCCCCACTGTGCTCCTGGGGACACTCAGAGCTTTAGACATGGTTTGATCCCCTGGTCCTGATCTGGGCCTCACCACGGTCTGACCACAGGGAGCTCCTGGACTTCATGTCTTGGTTTGTGTCCTGAGCTGCAGTGTGAACTGCACTGGTGTATGTCTTTCTACACTGTGTCCAGTCAGCCCAGTTTGCCAAAGGTGGACTCCAGACAGAGTCTAGACTTGTGTGAGACAGGATGCAGCTGAGTCTGGAGCCAAAGCAAAGGCTCTGGAGACATTTGGAAAGTGTTCAGCTTTAATTAGCCAATGTTTTCACTGTATCATTATGTGTGACTGAGTGCAGATCGAGGAGCTGAGGAGTCAGCTGCAGCTGTTTCACATGAAGCCACAGCACAACAAAGTGAAGGGGCCTGAAAACTTTGTGACGTGCCTGTATTCATGCAGCAGTGTGTGTGTGTGTGTGTGTGTGTGTGTAATCAGGGTGTGACTGACATACCTGAGAAATCAAACCAACGCACTACATGACCAGACAGCTCCTGTGTGACTCCCCCCGTCTGTAAATCACCAGAGTCGTCCGACTGGAAACAGCAGACTCAGAGTGATTCACCAGATCCTGCTGCAGCCTGGGCCCAACGTGCTGCAGCGCTCAGTTGGTGTTGGTCCAGCAGATGTGTGCAGATGTGTCATCAGCTATCACAAACCACAACAACAACAGGAAACAGCATTTTACCAACAACCTTTTAAGAGGAGCACAGCTCTTGTTCTTTTAGCTTCACTAGTGTAAAAAACCAAACTGTCCAGTTGTGGCCCACTAACAGCCTGGACCTGGGCCCCGCCCTTCAAACATGGTTCAACTACACCAGGCTAACATGCTGTTATCAGGCTAAAATGGTCCTGTGAATTCTCCAGATAATCAGCTTCTCTTAAAGCTGTGTGACATCTGAGCTGTTCTGAAGTTATCTGGGAATATCAGCGTGCCCTTATTTTGAAATAAAGGCAAAATAAGCAGACTTGAAACCATGACCAGTGATTGGCTGAGCACTAACCACATGACTGCAGGGGCATGGGGAGTCCTCCCAGCATGCACTGAGGCAACGTAAGTATTTAAAAAAAATCTTTATTGAAAATTGGGCTTATAAAATGTCCAGACTTTCATGGAAACAATAATAACAGTAACAGATCGATTCAGAACGAGCCAAGCAGCATCATCAGGTAATCAGAAGTTTGTAGGTAACAGTGTCCAACACATAACTGACACATACCAATACAAATCAATAAGCAAAAAAAGATACAGAAAATAAACCTTTATAGAATATAGCAAAAAACAGAGAATAAATAAATAATAAAGGGGGCTAGAATAGTTTGTAATCAGTCATCGGGTGTTTCTAATGTAATAATCATACATAATCATGTAATAGTCATAATTGTACATTGACTGTTGACTGGTGCACATGCTGCTCCCATGCAGCATACATTCTCTATTATAGTCTTATATATTTTTATTATTTTGCTGCTTAAAGTGCCTTAGATTTGGTGTTACTTATTTATCTACTTTATATTTCTTTTGTATTTTGTGGCATTCATGTAGACGGCAAAGTAAGAATTTCATTGTACAGAGAAACACGTTTCCTAACTGTGCATATGACAAATAAACACTTTGAACTTGACTATGACTAATGCATTACACACAGGTGTTAACCAAAATCACTTCCGTTAATCCATTCCACACTGGGGGGGGCAAATTCAGTGTTCTTGTTTTATAGTGTAACACCCAGTTGAAATGTTTTGGAGGAACTGGAAGGATTAAGAATTTTGTTCTCACATATGATCTGTCATTTTTTTCTGATTCACGGTACTTTTTGCTAAACCAGAATATAATATATTAATTAATCTGTCTTTTAAAAAAGTATTAATACACATTTGTCTAGTATACCGATGTAGTTAATGTTGAAAGCTGGTAATTTGCCAGATCCATCCACTTCCTTCCTCTCGAGACAAATCTGTTCTTCCACAGTGGCACATTGTGAGGACCAAAAAGTATGTTTGTAGATCATTTTCCAGTACGAGGCTTGTTGGTGGAAGGCAGTTTGACAGGCAGTTTGGATATTTCAAAATCACATTTCAGTAAAAATCCAGTCCCTCCAACGTTCTCAAAAACCACTGAGGGAACCACGGCCGGCTCCTATTTTTAGAAAGGACTACAGCCACTTCATTTCTATCACAGCATTCATAACGTCCTGATAGGTTTATTTTTCCAAATGAGATTAAAGTTCAGTTGATTAATGTTTTAAAGTTTTGTGAGGCAGAGCCAGTGAATATGTGAATTGATGAGTCTGGATATAATTTCCATTTTTGTTTAGCATAGTTCTTCTCGACAGAGTCTCTGTGGCTAACTATTTAGTATTCTAGTGTTCCTTTACATCTGGCCTCAGTCTTCTGGACATTCTTTTCCTCATTTGATTCACTGTTTGTTTTTTTTCCAGATTCATGTGCTGTGTTGTTCCAGTCTATATCCTGGGTCTGTGTCCACACCACAGTGGTGGCGGTGCAGAGCGGGTGACGTCTCCGATTGGACGCTCAGGGGGTGAAACGTCAGTGGAGTAAGAAGCAAACGTCAGCATGTTTGTGTTTAAATTCTTGCACATGCTGCTCCCATGCAGCATACATTCTCTATTATAGTCTTATATATTTTTATTATTTTGCTGCTTAAAGTGCCTTAGATTTGGTGTTACTTATTTATCTACTTTATATTTCTTTTGTATTTTGTGGCATTCATGTAGACGGCAAAGTAAGAATTTCATTGTACAGAGAAACACGTTTCCTAACTGTGCATATGACAAATAAACACTTTGAACTTGACTATGACTAATGCATTACACACAGGTGTTAACCAAAATCACTTCCGTTAATCCATTCCACACTGGGGGGGCAAATTCAGTGTTCTTGTTTTATAGTGTAACACCCAGTTGAAATGTTTTGGAGGAACTGGAAGGATTAAGAATTTTGTCCTCACATATGATCTGTCCATTTTTTTCTGATTCACGGTACTTTTTGCTAAACCAGAATATAATATATTAATTAATCTGTCTTTTAAAAAAGTATTAATACACATTTGTCTAGTATACCGATGTAGTTAATGTTGAAAGCTGGTAATTTGCCAGATCCATCCACTTCCTTCCTCTCGAGACAAATCTGTTCTTCCACAGTGGCACATTGTGAGGACCAAAAAGTATGTTTGTAGATCATTTTCCAGTACAAGGCTTGTTGGTGGAAGGCAGAGTTTGACAGGCAGTTTGGATATTTCAAAATCACATTTCAGTAAAAATCCAGTCCCTCCAACGTTCTCAAAAACCACTGAGGGAACCACGGCCGGCTCCTATTTTTAGAAAGGACTACAGCCACTTCATTTCTATCACAGCATTCATAACGTCCTGATAGGTTTATTTTTCCAAATGAGATTAAAGTTCAGTTGATTAATGTTTTAAAGTTTTGTGAGGCAGAGCCAGTGAATATGTGAATTGATGAGTCTGGATATAATTTCCCTTTTTGTTTAGCAGAGTTCTTCTCGACAGAGTCTCTGTGGCCAACTATTTAGTATTCCAGTGTTCCTTTACATCTGGCCTCAGTCGTCTGGACATTCTTTTCCTCATTTGATTCACTGTTTGTTTTTTTTTCCAGATTCATGTGCTGTGTTGTTCCAGTCTATATCCTGGGTCTGTGTTCACACCACAGTGGTGGCGGTGCAGAGCGGGTGCCGTCTCCGATTGGACGCTCAGGGGGTGAAACGTCAGTGGAGTAAGAAGCAAACGTCAGCATGTTTGTGTTTAAATTCTCACTCTAACTAAATATTCTGGAGTTTTTCCAGCATAACATTGATTTTATTGTATGTTTTATGTTAGAAGTTGGTGATAATTCAACAGATCATTTTGATTTTTCTCTAACTTGCACATTACAACTAGAACCTCTTGGTCGTGATCCAGATAAGCTGCAGGTTTGGATCTAAGGACTTGTTGCTATGACAGCAGCTCCAGATGAATTTGAAACCAACGACTCAACATAACAATCTGGAGAACTCAGCTATCCACGCATGAAGAACAAGCTCCAGGACTCAACAGAAAATCCAAACCAGCATCAGCTCTGCTTCCCCCATCATCGTCCGTCACACAAACACAGATTCACATGACGTTGTTGTCCCGCTGTCACCTGTTTGATGACTGTTTGTCATTAATGTCTAAAACGTCCTCATCTGTAGAACTAAAGCACAGACCCCCCCATACCCCTGTGTATGTGTGTGTGGTGTTCAGTCATGCACACTGAACAACAACGTGATCATATCACGGAATGTATACCATGTTTCCTGCACCTGTTCTCTCACTGATTGTTGAGTAATAAATGAATAAATAAAAATGTGCTGTCCGGTGCTTCAGACTTTAGGATTTCCTGTTTTAAATCTTTGGTCTCTGTTGGTCTGTGGTCCATTTAATCCTGGTTCAGCATGTGTGTTTCCATGGATACGCTGTTGCTCAGGCCTGAAGAACCATTTTGTGGTGGTCAGCACATCTGATCAAGAGCAGCATGGTAAACGTGTTCTTAACTGGTCCATAAAGGTTCTGTGAGTAAAATGTCAGTGCCAGGCTTTAGAAGCAGTTGTACTGAATGCTCTGTAGAGCAGTTTGAACAAGAGGTTTCACAGCTGGTACAGATGTTACCGACTGTTTTACAGAGGTTCTACATTCGCACTTCAGACGCTGTTATTCAGAACAAGCTACATGATGTCTCTGTGTTCAAGTTACGAACTGGACTGACTCGTTCTAACTGGATTCTTTGCAGGTGCAGAACCCGAACAGACCTGGCACTTCAGTGGAGAGTCTACGTGTACCCAGCAGAGGCTGGTTCTGCTCAGAACCTCTGCTACATTACAGTTAACAGGCAACTGTGTAAGACCCTTACAGATGTGGAGGGAACAAAGACAATCTCACCTGGCTGGCAGCGTCCAGGTGAGTCCAGCTGAGTCCAGCTCGGTCGGGTGATTCCGTTCTGGCTGGTCCCTGCTGTCGTTCTCAAACTCAGACTCTCTCTGTGTGCCCTGTCTCCTCCCCTTCAGTTCCTCTCTCTCCCTCCCCCACCTTGCTCATCCCTGTCTCACCTTGTTTCAGGTATGAAAGAAAAAAAGTGGAAGGGGGCGGAGTTTCTGCTGACTGACAGGTTGTTGCTTCTTTCCCTTCAAATTCAAACTGAGTTTACTGATATGACGGTAGTTCAGTGTAGCGCTGCTGAAACAGTCAGTGACAGAACAGAATATTAAAGAAGTTCTGAACAGAGTTTGGTGTGTGATCAGTGTTTACAGCTGATGACTTGTCTCTTTAAAGGTCCAACTGCTGATTTAAGTACAAATGTTCAGAGTAAAAACCACATGACCTCATGTTAATGTTCCTCCCAGACTGGATGATGAGTCTATTCATACAGAGGCTAACGGCAGTTAACAGTTACATTTGTGGTGAATGTGGTCTGTGCTGCTTCAGTTAGCAGATAAACACACTGATGCTTTACTTAGTCATTAGAATTAGGATTTTTATTTTATAACACAGACTCTTTACAGGTAAATATGTATTAGCTGGAAATAATGTAAAGACATTTCTGATTAAGCCTGAAGTCAACACACACACACCTCCCCCAGAAACCTGTGATGAAACACAGGCTAAGCCTCTCTCCCTCTCAGTCACCTGCAGGCTGCAGCATGCCTCGCTCTCCCCTTGGGCAGGGAAAGAAAGCAACGACCAGACTCCATCACTTTGCCTTAAACTTTAGCTCACAGCATTGTCATCTAAATGTGACAGAGTTCAGGTTCAATCAGGTTTAACACATGAAATAACTAGAAGCTCAATGATTTACCTCAGTCCAGCCACATGAGTCACAGGACACATTGATACACCAACTTACTGTTTCATGTCACTTTGTTTTATGTGATCATGGTGCAAGGAATCATGGGTGCTTTGGACTTTTTATGTTTCTCATGCTGCAGTTTCACCAAATTCAATTAAAACCTTTTTTAATACCACAGACATTAATGTAGCTCCTGTTTCTTCATCATCAGCAACATTTGACAGGTATCAGTGAAACCATAAGAACTAGAATCAGTGGTGGAAGAAGTACTCTTTACTTCAGTAAAAGTAGTAATAGCAGTGTAAAAATACTCTGTTAAAAGTAAAAAGTCCTACATTCAACATTATACTTAAGTATAGGTAAAAAAGTCACAGCACCAACATATACTTGAAGTACCAGCAGTACCAGTACTCGTCCAGAAGAACGGCCCGTGTCCCAGTAACGTCTCTGATACTGGATCATAGTGACTAATTACTGTGTCCATCACTTTAATGCTGCAGCTGGTAAAGGTGGAGCTGATGGTAACTACCTTATATACTTATACTGGGAAGTACTTTCCATCCTGCTGGGTAGCTGGTGGATTTCCTACTGGGATCAATAGAGTCTGATGGTTCTACTGGGTTTGGTTTGATTCATCTGGTTCTGGACCTGAAGTTATCAGGTACATGTAGTGTAGTAAAAAGTACACGGTTGTAGGACATGGAAATAGTCAAGAGAAAGTACAGATACCTCAGAAGTGTACTTGAGTAAATGTGCTTAGCTACCTTCCACCACTGACTAGAATTGTCTACCAAGTGCCAGTATTTGATATTTACACCACTAATTCTTACACAACATCTAATATCAGTAATTGATTATAAATTGCAGCCTGGACGAGCAGCAGGAAATAAAAAATTAACCAATTCAAATGCGACAAACTTCCAGAACAAAATCCTGGAGTCACTTGGTGCAAAAGGCAGTAACATTTTATAACTAGCGTCACAGCCCAGGAGGTATTGGAACCCGTTCAGATTAACTGTGTCAGACTCTTTAACGCTGAGGAAAACAGGGCTTCATTAAAGACCTGCACAAACCCTGGCACACGCTCTCTTTTACTACACAGCCTCCTCAAGGTCCACTTACTGGTCTGGCTTTTCTGGAGCTTTGATCACATGGTCTTCTTCACCTAATTCTGTGCACCCCCAGGATTTCTTGTGCATTCAGAGCACCCTCTGCTGTTGAGCGATCAAACCTTCGACTAACATTAACTGTTCTCCCAAGGGAACCTGTCGTGACAGCCTGCTGTAGTTTCATTACAGCATTTACATTTCCATTGGTGGCTGAATCCCAGTTCTGGTTGAAGCTAATGGAGCAGACAAAAAAAATGCTATACATCATATTTTCCCTTTATTTATTTACATTTGAAAATACAAAGACAAACAAGCAAAAAGAAAAAACAATACTATGACACTTGTTTAAAATGTAGTTAACCAGATATAACAACACATATACATGAGGACAACCAGAGGCTAAACAGGTGTTTCAGGGTAAAGAGCCGACATCTGCTCCTTCAGCTCCGACAGGACGGTCAGAGACGAACGGTCGCCGGCGTTCAGCAGCGATCGGAAAAACCTCCTCCACATGTGGGAAAAGATGTAGCTGCAGAGACAGCGAGGGTGAACTTAAACCAGGTCTAATGTGTGCAACCAGTCAGGTTGAACTTATGACATAAACCTGTATTAACATGTGAAATAAGGCTGATTTAAATGTAAATGAATCCAGGATCACGTGTGAGTACCAGGGCTTGTTCCCACTGAACTGCTCTGCCGTCCAGCCCTCGTCGTCTTTCACCAGGACCATGCTGCTGTTGGTCAGGAGCAGATGGACAGTTTCGGCGATGCCCACCAGGTCCACCTGACAGGTAGAGACAGGGGGAGGAGTTAGTGTGAGTCCATCTCAGAGAAGGAGGAGGGGTGTGTACAGAGGAGACAGGTGTGGTGAGGTGGTACCAGGTGTGGCGGTGCAGTCGGCTCCAGGAGACCCAGACTGATGTAGGTCTGAGCTGAGCAGAGCTGCTGGACCGATGTGACATTCTGCTGGAGGTCCAGGTCCACCGAGGAGGACCAGTCCACGGGAAAGACGTAACCAGAGCCCAGGACACCTCTGTAAGAGCCAGAGTTGAGCAGCACAGTAGATTAAAGGCTTCGAACTGTTGAGCTCTACAGTAACTCTCCTGTCAGAGACTGCTGGTCTACCTGGAGAAACAGGTGAGAAGATCAGGCCGCAGCGCTGCATGCACGAGCCTGCAGGCGTGAAGCTGTGACACCAGCTGCAGCAGCCACACAGCTTCATGAGTCACTGACAGCTCTGGAGTCCCCTTTGTCAGCGCCTGGGACACACATACAGCACATACTGGTGTTTTACATTGTGTTGCCTTCTGGAACCTGACCCTGACTCTAACCTTAGGGGAGGCCCGTCTGTTTCCAACAAACAGCTCCAACACACTGTTCTGTTGCAGTGTGAGGAGCCGGCGGAGCACTCTGACCTGAGCAGAGACCAGAGACTCTACAGTGATGCTGTGTTAGAAACAGATGGCCTCCCATGTGTCCTGAGGAGGAAACCTGTCCCCCAGTGGAGGTCTACGGCCCAGAGCGATAAGCTGGACCAGAGTCTGGACTCGCTTTACAATGAGGACACCACATCCACTGGTGCTGCTGGTCTCTGCAGTGTCATCCTCAGTTTGTCTCTAATGCTCAAAATGCTTCTTTGCAACAGTATCAGTGTATTTATTTACTTTGCATTCTCAGTCCATGACCCCAGGTTTTCTGAGGCCGTCCCTCCTGCTGACTGGGAGGAAATGTCGGGACCTGAACAGGAAATGACTTACGGTGAACCTGTGCCCTGGCGGGGCGGTGTAGACGGTGATGCAGCCATCCAGGAACACGAAGCAGCTGAGCAGAGGAAGGCTGTCAGGAGTGGAGCAGTTCTTCTTCAGACGATTAAACTGATGGAAGTCCCAGGGAAGGGAGCAGCTGTCCACCTGCCACAGGTAAACACAGGAAACCACAGGGTCAGCGCTGGCCTGACAGTTTACCTTGGTGCTAATCAGACCCCTGCACCACATTCTATGTGCTGTATAACCATGTTTCACCTACAGTAAAGCACAGTCACTCCAGAAAGCTAATGAACAACTGCAGCTGATTAAGGTCAGATGTTACTAAAATGCCCATGAGCCTTTGCTGATGCTATGGAGAAGAAGCCAAACGAAGGCATGAATCAGAAGCTGGGCACACGTAACCTGCTGAATGCTTCCTCCTGTTTGAAGTGTGCAGCTCTTTGACTGGCTGCTTGTCAGTGAAAAGCACCTCGGGAGTCGTAGTTGGCCGCAGGTTACAGTCTCCTCGCCGCTACACACAGATCTGCTTCTGTTTCTCATCCCCTCGGTGACGTTCAGTCACATGACACGTGTACCTCAGTACGTCACATCTCAGGCCTTAATGCTGAGCTCTGATCTGTTTGTGTGGATGCTTCACAGCCATGTCTGAGAGTGAAACATCAGGTCTGAGTCACTGGGAGGGAGAAGCCTTCGTCTGTTTCTGCAGCACTCTGTCTTCTCAATGCGGCAGCTTTTCCAGCTCAGCCGCTCAGTTTCCAGGTTTGTTACGTGAAGAACCGGAGGACGGGCGCCCACCTAGTGAATCGATAAATGTCCTCCTCTAACAGCAGTGTTCGATCTGCTGGGACAGAGGTGTCTAGCTGAGTCTGAGGGTGGAGTTATCCTTTAAACTGGGAATCTCCTGAAATGTCCAGTGCACAAACACACACGTGTGACAGATACATGAGCAGGTTCACCTTGATGAGCACTTGGCCTTCATCTGAAGTCCCTCTATAAACAGAGAAACTTCCTCCATCATGGACCCTGGAGAACAGCAGGTACACCACGCCCCCTGGTGGACAGAAGGCAGAACCAATCACTAATCAATCACTTGCAGAGGAAAGCCCCTGGGTTATGGATATCTAAAGGAATATTCAGAGAATTCATCGATGTCTGAACAGTAGGATTTAATAAGTCTTGTGTGGAAGCAGAGGAAAGACCAGGAAGTTGCTGTTAAGCCAAGTTCTCATTGCCCCAAATCTGCACAGTGACAGCGAGAGTGAAAGACCACTAGCAGAATCACTGTGCCCACTTTTAGGGGAAATTGAACCACAGGTTCAAAGAAACCAAGGTGATCTAGGACTTTAAGTTGTAGTAGAATATTTTTCCAGTGTGGTACTGCTACTTTTACTTCAGTACAGAATCAGAGTACTTCTTCTATCTCTCTCACAGCGAACACTAATTAAAACTTTCACCTGCAGCTCTGCTGAAGAACACACACATGTACATGATCAAGTGTCCTGAGCTCGTACCCAGCTGCAGAACCCCGGATTCCTCCACAGCCGGGAGGGGGCGGGGGTCTGAATGGCAGGCAGGGGATGAAGTGACATCACAGGGTTCCAGCAGTCGCCGCCGCACATCTGGGTCACATGGATCCATAGCGCCCCCGACTGGCTCAGCAACAAGAAGGATGTTTTCTGAGGCTACAGGTGGAAACAAACCACCACATTTACACAGAGAAGTCCGGTGTCAGAGGCACGTGGAGCTGAAGATAAAGTCAGTGAGCTGCTGGTTTGAGGTACTTGTACTTTACTTGGGTACATCTAGTTTATGATCCTCTAGACGTCACTGCAGACAGAAACACTGTTGTTTTTACTCCGTGACATTTCTCTGACAGCTGCAGCTGCTTTGTAGATTCAGGTAAATATAATCAACTAACAAATTCGGCCACAGCCTTAGTTTTAAGTTAAGATTCTGTTTCCAACAAACAGCTCCAACACACTGTTCTGTTACAGTGTGAGGAGCCGGCGGAGCACTCTGACCTGAGCAGAGACCAGAGACCAGAGACTCTACAGTGATGCTGTGTGTTAGAAACAGATGGCCTCCCATGTGTCCTGAGGAGGAAACCTGTCCCCCAGTGGAGGTCTACGGCCCAGAGCGATAAGCTGGACCAGAGTCTGGACTCGCTTTACAATGAGGACACCACATCCACTGGTGCTGCTGGTCTCTGCAGTGTCATCCTCAGTTTGTCTCTAATGCTCAAAATGCTTCTTTGCAACAGTATCAGTGTATTTATTTACTTTGCATTCTCAGTCCATGACCCCAGGTTTTCTGAGGCCGTCCCTCCTGCTGACTGGGAGGAAATGTCGGGACCTGAACAGGAAATGACTTACGGTGAACCTGTGCCCTGGCGGGGCGGTGTAGACGGTGATGCAGCCATCCAGGAACACGAAGCAGCTGAGCAGAGGAAGGCTGTCAGGAGTGGAGCAGTTCTTCTTCAGACGATTAAACTGATGGAAGTCCCAGGGAAGGGAGCAGCTGTCCACCTGCCACAGGTAAACACAGGAAACCACAGGGTCAGCGCTGGCCTGACAGTTTACCTTGGTGCTAATCAGACCCCTGCACCACATTCTATGTGCTGTATAACCATGTTTCACCTACAGTAAAGCACAGTCACTCCAGAAAGCTAATGAACAACTGCAGCTGATTAAGGTCAGATGTTACTAAAATGCCCATGAGCCTTTGCTGATGCTATGGAGAAGAAGCCAAACGAAGGCATGAATCAGAAGCTGGGCACAAGTAACCTGCTGAATGCTTCCTCCTGTTTGAAGTGTGCAGCTCTTTGACTGGCTGCTTGTCAGTGAAAAGCACCTCGGGAGTCGTAGTTGGCCGCAGGTTACAGTCTCCTCGCCGCTACACACAGATCTGCTTCTGTTTCTCATCCCCTCGGTGACGTTCAGTCACATGACACGTGTACCTCAGTACGTCACATCTCAGGCCTTAATGCTGAGCTCTGATCTGTTTGTGTGGATGCTTCACAGCCATGTCTGAGAGTGAAACATCAGGTCTGAGTCACTGGGAGGGAGAAGCCTTCGTCTGTTTCTGCAGCACTCTGTCTTCTCAATGCGGCAGCTTTTCCAGCTCAGCCGCTCAGTTTCCAGGTTTGTTACGTGAAGAACCGGAGGACGGGCGCCCACCTAGTGAATCGATAAATGTCCTCCTCTAACAGCAGTGTTCGATCTGCTGGGACAGAGGTGTCTAGCTGAGTCTGAGGGTGGAGTTATCCTTTAAACTGGGAATCTCCTGAAATGTCCAGTGCACAAACACACACGTGTGACAGATACATGAGCAGGTTCACCTTGATGAGCACTTGGCCTTCATCTGAAGTCCCTCTATAAACAGAGAAACTTCCTCCATCATGGACCCTGGAGAACAGCAGGTACACCACGCCCCCTGGTGGACAGAAGGCAGAACCAATCACTAATCAATCACTTGCAGAGGAAAGCCCCTGGGTTATGGATATCTAAAGGAATATTCAGAGAATTCATCGATGTCTGAACAGTAGGATTTAATAAGTCTTGTGTGGAAGCAGAGGAAAGACCAGGAAGTTGCTGTTAAGCCAAGTTCTCATTGCCCCAAATCTGCACAGTGACAGCGAGAGTGAAAGACCACTAGCAGAATCACTGTGCCCACTTTTAGGGGAAATTGAACCACAGGTTCAAAGAAACCAAGGTGATCTAGGACTTTAAGTTGTAGTAGAATATTTTTCCAGTGTGGTACTGCTACTTTTACTTCAGTACAGAATCAGAGTACTTCTTCTATCTCTCTCACAGCGAACACTAATTAAAACTTTCACCTGCAGCTCTGCTGAAGAACACACACATGTACATGATCAAGTGTCCTGAGCTCGTACCCAGCTGCAGAACCCCGGATTCCTACACAGCCGGGAGGGGGCGGGGGTCTGAATGGCAGGCAGGGGATGAAGTGACATCACAGGGTTCCAGCAGTCGCCGCCGCACATCTGGGTCACATGGATCCATAGCGCCCCCGACTGGCTCAGCAACAAGAAGGATGTTTTCTGAGGCTACAGGTGGAAACAAACCACCACATTTACACAGAGAAGTCCGGTGTCAGAGGCACGTGGAGCTGAAGATAAAGTCAGTGAGCTGCTGGTTTGAGGTACTTGTACTTTACTTGGGTACATCTAGTTTATGATCCTCTAGACGTCACTGCAGACAGAAACACTGTTGTTTTTACTCCGTGACATTTCTCTGACAGCTGCAGCTGCTTTGTAGATTCAGGTAAATATAATCAACTAACAAATTCGGCCACAGCCTTAGTTTTAAGTTAAGATCAGTATTTTTATCCTCAGTGGAAATTCACAGCAGGCTATAAGGTAGCTAACGTCAGCTCCTCCTTTACCGGCGTTACACTGACAAACACAGTAACGCATCACTAAATATAATCCTACAACATGTGGTTTTATTCTGGTTAAGACTCTGTTTAATGAGTTACAGGATTTTCGACCTCGCTAAGAGAAACTCTACACCACTGACCAGGTGATGGAGCGTGGTCCTGGTCCCGGTGCTTCTGCTCTGCTTCCAGAAGACTACAGCTCCCAGAAGAGAGCCCTGGTAGCGAGGTCCAAGAGGCGGCCTCCACGCTGGTCTCCTGTATGGGACTCAGCTCCTTTGGGGCTTTGGACACTGACTGCTGAGGCATGAAGGAGGGCTGGGAGTGCACCAGAGACTGGAGGTCTTCAGAGGTCCCCCCATGATGGTCTGACAACAGGTAACACGTTCAGACATGAGCACAGTGACGGAGACAGTGCGGCCTGATAGCAACAGGCAGAGTTTAAATAAAGGGTTAATGATTGAGAGCATAACGTTTGATCTTATTTAATAGGAAAGTATAACAAGGCTGTAACATGACTTTTCTTGGCTCGGAGCAGAGAACAGCAGGATGACTGCAGCAGATGTCACCAGTCGGCTCATTTTTTGTACTTTGTCATTTTTTCCACATTAATGAAAACAATGTCACACACCGTTTTCTTAACTAGTCCATGTCTCTATTCAGATTCCACATCTCCTGGCTCTGCCTGTCTGGTAGGACGAGCTTGCCTGATAATGACATGACTTTTCTTGGCTAGGAGCTGAGAGCCACAGACAGGAAGTGTGGACACATGGACCAACACACTGTCGGTTGAAGTCTTTTTTATGGGATTTAAAGACAAGAAGAGAAGTGCAGAACAAGACCAGGAGTCAGGGTCTCACCTGGATGTGGATTAGAGACTCACCTGGTTGAGAACAATGGGCCTTCAGACAGAGTCCTCTCTCATCAGGGCAGAGGAAAACGTCGTCTAGCAGCTCTCTGGGAGACGATTCACCTTTTCTGTTTGACAAATCCAACACAGGCTGAGTTGATCGCAGCTTATTCACACAGGAACATCAGTGTGTAAGGCATGTTTATTACCCAGCAGGCCGTGTGGCAGTAGCAGGCTGGGACTGAGACTCGTCATTTATCTGTAAGGAAGCAGCAGCTGGAGATCTAGCAGAGTCACTGCTCTGAGAGGTGGAGGCTCCGTGAACTACCTGCAGGGAGAGCTGCAGTCAGACTTACAACCACACTCCATGTTTGTTTGTTCCTGATGCAGCTGGTGACTTTGTCTGAAAAGCAAACAGGCCTCACATTTCCCGATTAAGAAACCTGCCGCCCAGTGCAGCGTATTGTGCACAGCATACACAGACTGCAGCCTTTTCCTTTAGAGTACTTTGTGTTTCAGCTGCCCCCCTTCACTGGGTCCTTTATAGAAACTAAAACACCTCCCACGTCCAGATACATACTGACATCACCATCACTAAAATGGGATGCTCTCGTGTTCACTGTACCTGAGCCACACTGGGGTCAGTACTACTACTACTACTAGTACTACTAGTAGTAGTAGTAGCTGCATTAGCTGTGTCAGTCAAGACCTGGGGCTGTTCACTCTTCCTGAGCTGTAACAGTCTCTCCTTCTCCTGGACCTCCTGACACATCTGTGCATTGACCTTTATCAGATGATTCAGTCTCTCTGCAGGAAACAAACAATAATCAGTTGATCACCCCAAATATACAGTAAGATGAATAAAGAAATGATTAAATATCATGAATCTTCTGCCCTGAGTTTAGTCAACATATCAGTAAATGTCCTAAGGTCAGTGAACGCACCTGTCATCTCTTTCTTTTTCTGCTGCTGGTACCTTTCAGCTCGGAGCTCCTCGAAGCTGAACTCGATTGCTCCTCTCAGCAGCAGCTCCTTACAGTACTCGCTAATCTGATTGGACACGTCCTCCCTCTGAGAATCCATCTGATTGGCTGACCTGTCGCCGTCAGGGCGACACATGGAGGAGTCAGCTCCATATGAAATCAAGCTCTGTGATTCATCTTGGATGTGAAACACTGATCCAGTAAAAACACAGTGATGGTGAGAACTTACTGTTCGCAGACGGAGAACGCCACCTGCATCACCAGCCCCTCTGCCATGACTGTACCTGGATCAGATAGAACAATCAGAACTCACCTGTCAGTCTGAGCCAATCATCTGTAACCACAGGCCAGGTAGTTGTTCCCAGCTCACTCTCTAACACTAATTACAAATAGATATTAACTCCATTATTACCCGGAGCAGTTTCCTGATGCCAGATGATAAGATGGAGGCTTGAGGACCTGAGACTGCTCATAAAGGTAAAACAATTTCTTCTTTTTACTGATTTTGAAATAACAGTACATGTGTTCATTAGCTCCAGAAGTGATGCTTTGTGTGCTGGCATTTTATTATCCAGACTCCAAATGCTGCCGCTCGTCTTCTCACAGGTCCTCGACAATATGGACATATTACTGCGGTTCTGGCTTCACTTCACTGGCTCCCTGTTCACCAAAGGATTGATTCTAAATGACTGTTGTTTGTTTTTAAAGCTGTTTATTGGTCAGCTACATATCTCAAAGTTTCTTCACCTTCACACCTGAGGAAGCTTTTAAAGGGTCTGAGAACTAGACTTACATCTTGGGGCGACAGGGCGTTCACAGTGGACCCCAGATTATGGAGGCGTCTTCTTTATACTACACCGGCTCCGAATGTGGCCACCTGCTGCACGCTACCAAAAACCCATCTGTTCGCTAGGTGTTCGACAGCGGTCCTGAATAAAGTTTTATTTTTTTATATTATTCTCTTTATTCTTTTATATTACTGTGTTGTTGTATTTTTTCTCATGCCCACTTTATTTTTTTCTTGCATGTTTTATTATTGATTTTATGTTTGTGAAGATTCCTTTGTTTGATGATAAATGACTTGAATAATTAGCCAGTGATCAATGAACTGGTGTTAATCTCCCCAGTTGACAGCAGGTTATTAAGTACAAGTGACCTGATTTAACCGGTTAACTTTCCACAGAACAATGAGGTGAGAGTTATTTAATGTTGACAGAGGAAGGCTGATTGTTTCAGGGTTCTCTGATCAAGAAACTACCAACCTGTGTGTGTGTGTGTGTGTGTGTGTGTGTACAACAGACCAACTTCCAGATGTGGCAAACCTGCTCATGGCAACATTAAATCCAGCTTGATAACAGCCACAGAGGTAACTGTGAGAATAACTGATACAGTTCTACAGAGGAATCATCCAGTCTGTTCTCTGCACCTCCATCACTGTCTGGTTTGGCTCAGCAACCAAACAGGACAAGTACAGACTTCAGAGGACAGTCAGGACTGTAGGAAAGGTCACTGGTGTGACCCTGCCCTCCATGGAGGACCTGTACACCTCACGGGTCAAAAGGAGGGCGGAGAGGATCACTGCAGACCCCTCACACCCTGGACACAATCTGTTTGAACTCCTCCCCTCTGGACGGCGTTACAGGTCACTGTGCACCAAGACAACCAGGGACAGGGACAGTTTCTTCCCCCAGGCTGTCGCTCTGATGAACACTTAACCCACGACAGTATGATTGGACAATAACCTTCAGTGCAATACCTGTAAATATACCTCGTACATATTATAGAGACTCGTACAGGTCTCTAGTTCTGAAGTATCTGTTTTATCCCTGTTGTTCTGTTTATACTGCTTATTTTACACTGTTTGTTGATGTTAATACTGTTTATCTTGTTATATTACAGCCTTATGTTGGTTTACTGTTTACTTATCCCTTGCATGGGGACATGTACATGCACATTTAGAGCCGATGTACCAGAGTCAGATTCCTCCTGTGTCCAAACATCTGGCCAATAAAGCTGATTCTGATTCTGAACTGAAGGATCAACACCAAAGCTGGTTTTATTGAAACAACAGTTTCTGGGTTGTTAGATCTGATCCGGGTTGAAATTATGTCCTATTTATTCTCGCAGTTGTCTTGATGTAGTTTGAAACAACATCTGGCGACACAAGTTTACTGCTAAACACCCATGTTGTGAATTGGATGTGGCGGTACTGGGTAGCGCTTCTTACGTCATCACCCGAACTACGAGCTTAGCTAGTCAGATACTCATGTTCACCGCTTCATAAACACATCATGTCATAAAGTTGGTTACTTTCTTACCTTGTAGAGCAACAAATCTTTCAAGTCAAAACTCAAATCAAACCGCTATCAACGTCCACTCCAGTTTTTGGCTCTGATTGGACGAAATGACCCATGCATCATTTCCGCCCTGACCTCAGTGTTGTGTAGTGCCCACTCCGCCCCCACAGGTGGGAGTGTGCACTGCACCCTGAGACCGTGAAAACCGTGATTATAGCCTGAAAACCTCAGAGGAGGCTCAGTCATGTTTGTGCCGTCTACTGTATAAATGGCAGTTTATTCTACACACACAGTTTGATAGCAGCTTCTCTTGTAACAGCATTCAGGAAGACACACGAGCACGTTTGACAAAGCTGAAAAAAGATACACACTTGTATCAAATCAATGAAAATGTACACTCACCAGCCACTTCATTAGTTACACCTGTACAACTGTATGCAATTCATTCTGTTTTAATAAGCTTCCTTTCATTTCTACATAATGTTTGTGTGTTACTGGTGGCAGCAGTAGAAGTAGTATAGAAACTTCTTTCTGTAGCTGACAGCAGGTTTGAACATGATGCAATGATGCTCAGATTAGCAAATAATTAAAATAAACAAGTTTAAGATCAAACCAACTCCTTAAAGTTTAAGAAACGACTTTTTGCCTGGCGACATTAGATTCAATCCAGATGTGAGCGTCCTTCTGTCTCGGACCTCCGAGCCGATTATTCCCACACCCGCAGGAGGGTGTGGCCACACCTGGATGACGTCAGCGCCGCTTCGGTCTAATAGGAGTGTCGAGTTTCCTTTCCTGTGTGAGAGCAGGTGAGACACACCTAAGCGATACACAGCAGAGTTTACACCGACCAGTTAGTCGGTTTAACGATTTAAGGTTGAAACTACTGACAGAGGAGAAACCGCTTCACCTGGACCCGTCCGAGCGGAGCGGCGAGACGCGTCAGGAGGCGGTGAACTCTTTCCTGTCGCTACTTTTACCCCGACTGCAGCTGAAAATGCGTACATCATCCTCTTCCTCCCTCACGCCGTCTCTGCTCCTCTTCCTCCTTCTCCTGCGGCCCAATGGCGCAGCAGGCTGCAGCGACACATTCACCTCCGGTCAGGGCGACTTCGTGGTGGACGAGCAGGGCTCGGTGAAGGACGGAGCGATGCTGCTGGACGCAGCGTACGTAGGATCCGAGGCGGACTGCAAGCTCCGGTGCTGTGCGGACCCGCGCTGTAACCTGGCGCTGCTGGGGCCGCGCGGCACCGGAGCAGGAGGTGCGGAAAACCGGACCTGCGACCTGTTCAACTGCCTCTACAGACAGCAGTTCGTGTGCAGGTTCGCTAACCAGGATGACTACCTGAGCTACATCAGAAAGCCCGTTTTCCACAAATACCTGGGGGAACCGCAGGGATCAGGTGAGTCCGCACGAGTCTTACACTGTCCGTGTGGGAGAGAGGGGGGGGTTCGAACACCTTTTGTTTGAGCATCACTAATTCAGCGCCGTTCGTGCTAGATCTGTCAAACTTTGATGCATAGTACCCACATTTGTCTACAACAAATAAAACTCACTGACCAGTCCACAATCTCAGACTATGTGAGTTGATGTCAAATATGAAGCATTGTGCTGTTACAACCTGCCCCACTACTGGGGTGAGTTGACACCAGCTGGGGGTGGATGTAACAACAAGACTTAAATATCTGAAATAATATCCACTTTATGCAAGAACCTTATTAAATGATAATAAGAATAAGTTATGAATAAAGTGAACAATTGAATGGGATAAAAACACTTTAGGTGAGGTTTAGGCATATAGTGGTCGGGGGAAGGTTGGGGTAAGTCTAATGAATACAAGTCAGTGTAAAGACCTGCAAAGTGACAAATACAATGGTGTGTGAGGGTGGGGTGGGCTGCGTTTCACAATATGCATGTGTAACAGGTTCAGTCACTGTCACAGATGTAGACGCTGCCCCTGGGGGCCAGGGTTGGTTGGTCCTGTACTGATAGAGTATTGACTGCACACACACGTCTTTTGGTCTTGAGTTTGCAAAGTGTTCAATCACAAGATGAAGAGCTTCTCATCGTCAGACGTGTCAGAATGTCTTGGCCACTGGGCTTCAGGGGATAAGGGCATGGTCGTATGGAGATGCACTGTGACAACCAATTTTAATAGCTAACAGTTTAGCATGTGGCTTTGACATTAGCATGAATGGGAAGCATCAATTAAACTCGAGAAACTGCTGCTTTAGGATATACAAGTTAAACCATTCACAGTGGCGGTGTTTGAGCTGACCCGGTGTTTCAACCCTCCCCGCTCTCACCTACATCAAATCACTTTCAGAAGTATTATAAGCTCCATACTGGAGCATCACAGAAGCAGTATTAAAGTGAGACCTGTCCATATACAGGAATGTCTTTAAAAGTATTTTAACATTCCTATATTAATGTCTTTTAATATTTAGGCTATTTATTGTTTACTTAAGAAAGAAATGCACATAGTTTTACTTGTTGCCTACAAACCACATCCAGAGTCGCATTCTGGTGTGTTACTTGGCAAATGAAGCTGATTCTGATTATATTTGTTTAACACTGCTTCAATGTGCTTTTGTGAGAAAGGGCAGAAACACAGTGACGGTTTCTACCAGGACAACTGAACATGTATCACAGGGTAAAGGTGATAAAAGATCACTGGAGCTTCACTGTTGGCTCAGTGGGAGAAGATGATAGATGTGCTTCCTTTTGCTCACAGTAGTTGACAACAGCCTGGGTGGATGTGAATCATTAGGCTCAGGTTTGTAAGAACCAGCTCGTAGCTGCAGAAGCTGCCTGAGGATCCTGCTGTGTTTAAGTTCCCTTCAGTGTCACAGTGGTCCGGTGACACTCGTCTGTACATCCGTGGGTGCACTGCACCCAGGAGCTGCTCATTCTGCAGCTGGCGATGGGGACACTGTGATGACGTGAACAGATACAGGCTCAAGTTGTAGCTCGCAGCACACTAATGAAGTTCTGTAGCATCAAATCCAAATCTTTCAGTTTGTTGTAGTGCAGCAACAGAACCTTCAGCGGTTGTGTAGCAAAATATAGCATTTAATCACATTAATACAGTGTTAATGTTGCTGTAGGTAGCAGCGAGCAGACGGTCTGGCCCTGCAGTACCAGACTTGCCCGTGGACGCTGTGCTGAGCTGAAGTCAGTCTTGTAAAATTGGAGTCCAGGACTCATGACTCGACTTGGACTTCAACACTGACTCAGACTCATTGACTGCCTTCAGACTCAGAAGATGGAAACTCAGACTTTTTTGTAATAATTTGCCCTAAGATATTAAAACCCGTTCGCCTGCAACGTTATGTCTTTGAAGCGTGCACTCTGCTGGCCGGCTAATGATTATATGTACCAAACCACTGAGTAATATAGTGATTCAGTACATTGTTGGAAAGTCTGTGACCTAAACTGACGAGAGCTGTGTGGGTTGTCTTTAAGGACTCAGGCAGTGGGAACTGGACTCGGGCTTGAGCTTCAGTGACTCCACTAAAACCCCGGCTGAAGGCTTTCAGCACAGACTCTCTCCCTGATCGGTGACGTTCATTGACCCTGTCCTCGCTCGCTGTGCTCCTCACTGGGGCCTGTGCTGCGCTGCACACATCACAGTAGAATTCAGTCTGTATCAGTCTCTACTGTTTTGCTGCCGATGTCCTGAGCGTTAACAGCAGGTGACCTGGGTGTTGCACTGCTACACCTTCAAGTCCTCAGCAGTGAAACATGAGCTGAGGTCATGTGACTGACTTGACCCAACAAAAGTATTTGTTCTAAAAACCGGTGATGTGAGCTCTTGTCCCAGTGTGGATGTAAACAGCGTCAAACTGTGATGTCACTGTGTCTCCAGGTCAGAAGGCTTCGGTCATCGCCAACGCAGGTCCTGATGTCGTCGTTCAGCCTGGAGAGATGGTGCTGTTGAATGGCATTGAGAGCCTGGCACTGGGCAACACCCGCATCACAGACTACGTCTGGAGTCAGCAGAGCGGAAGCGAAGATGTAGAAATGGAGGTAAAACTGCTGGGTCTCGGGGGCGGGGCTTAACAGGTAGCATTAACCAATGGAGCGAATCCCTTGGAGAGAAACAGGGAGTCTGACTCGGAACAAATTCACTGAATGTTTCTTGTTCTTGTATATTCAGTGACGCACCATCCATTGTACCGAGACAAGGCTGCTTTATATAGTGCACGTCCTACACAGAGGCAGGGCGCAACAGTAACAGCATTAAAACCACAGTAAAGCCCATTAAGAGAAGTGAAGATAAAGCATCGTTAAAATGAGATAAAATACTTAAAATGAAAATAAGAACAAAGAAAACACAAGGTCTGAAACAGAAATTTAGCCGTTGTGGTGCAGAAAAGGCACCAGAACCAGCAGAGATTCCAGTTAACACTTGAAAGCGGCAGAGTCGGGGGCCATCGAAGGTCACCGGGAAGCTGGTTCCACCTGTGTGCAGCATAGCAGCTGAAAGCAGCTTCGCCCTGTTTGGGTCTGAGCCCAGGTTCTACCAGCTGCCTGCTTCCTGAGAATCTCTGGGTTTGGATTCTTCCAGGAGATCAGACGTGTTTTGGCCCCATGATTTATAAACTAGCAGAAGCATTTTGAAATTGACTGTGTAGGTGACTGGCAGCCAGTGTTAGGATTTAAGAACAGAAGCGATGTGCTCAGTTCTTCTGGTTCTGGTACCAGACTCCATTCAAACATCTTCTAAGTTGCTTCAGATACAACATGCTGCTGAATAACATGTTGAACACAGTGGTTTTCTGACTGTGACTCTGCAGCCGACCGAGCTGCGTGACCAGGTGAAGCTCTCCAACCTGCTGCCGGGCTCCTACGTCTTCAAGCTGAAGGTGTCCAACTCCAAAAAGCAATCAGACGAAACCAGTGTCACCGTTCTCGTCCTCAGCCCGGAGCTGTCCAGCCGTGAGTACTCATGGGAAATGACTGTAGTTAAATTACCAGGAGGTTGTTTGTTCCACTGCGACTGTAATGACTTTTCATTCTTGGTTTAAATCCACTGTTGGTAAATGTCAGAAGTAGGTACGAAATGAATCTGAATATGCATCTGTTGGTGTTGGCTGTAGTAAGCACCGCATGTCCAAAAGTATGTGGACACATCCTGTAATCCTTTATCTCTAACATGTGTTCATGATGGCACAAAATCAGTTTGACAGTCATAAAAAATGTGTCACTCTGAAGAGACCAGTAAATAAGTCACAGGGTGTCTGAGAGGAGCTCAGGAGCTAAACCTGAGTTTCCTGTGGGTTAGGGTTAACTCTGATTGTTGTCCACAGCCTCCAACAGGAACCTTTGATCTGGGATTAGTGGGGCTGACGGAGACACTGTGGCAACACACCAGTCAGTAACACAACAAATCTGTAGTACGACATTACAAAGAATCAGAGCTTGCATGAACATGAAGAGGTGTGTATGAGAGACAAGTGTGTGTCCAGGTGTTGGGGTGCTCCTGCAGATATGGAAAAGTACTTAAAAGCCTTCAGTGTTTAAGGAACACGGGTCAGATGTCACACAGTCTGAAGACCTTGAGTCTGGAAAGTAAAATCATCTGTGGGTGTGGAGAAAGATTGAGCTGCTCCTCATCTCTGCTGCAGGACATGTTAGCTACTACTAGCACATCACACCACAGGTGTATTGTGGGTACGCAGGTTTGGACCAGGAAAAAGGATAAAAGTCGAGGCTCCCTCTGGTTCACCCTGAGTCTGCTGCAGTAATGCGGAGGACTCACTAAACCAGATGGAGTTCAGTTCTGAACCTGCTGTTGTCTCCTCCTCTCAGATTTAAAGCTTCTGCCCCTGAGAACCGAGAGCAGCCTCGGCTGCAGCCGGCTGGGCGTTCGGTCTTGTTGTCAGTGGGCGGCTACAGACAGACATGTTACAAAGTCTGGCCATTAATGTACCATAAAGTGAAGAGCAGGTGAACTGGGCTGTTTGTTTTAGAGCAGCTGCCTCTGGAACAGTTTAGTGATTGGTTGAATTTGTGGGCCTGTTGCTCAGTGTTGTAAGTCGTTGTGTTTTGACCCTGATGAGCCACTCCTTGACTCAAACTGGTCAGACTGGAATACCTGACACGCAAACAGTGTCAACAGAGCGGCACTCCCTTTACTGCTCCGTGACACACACACGCCCGTGCTGGGGGTTAATCTTTAAATTCATGACACAGAGAAATGTCAGTATTGACGGTAACCCCCCCTGTTTCCTCTGTGTATTGCATTATGGGTAATTTCATCTCAATAGTGTCAGTCCCCAGCACATTTTACAGGCAGTACTGTACATACAAACACAGACTTCACGTCAGTGTGGCCACTATATTCACACAAAGCATCTTAACACTTTATATAATAATAGTAATGTACAGATGAAAGTACACACTAGTAAATATAGTTCACATTCACATGCCAATAAAAATAAAACTGACACTTTAGGGACTTGTGCTACACACTGAGTACTTTAGATATCTCGTGTACTTGGCTGTTAACACTCAAAAACAGGAGCGTTATGTGAACATGAGGGGGTTTTGTTTTGCGTATTTTTACTTTTACTGAAATAAACAATGTAAAAACTTCTTTCACCAGTGTTTTCACAAACATTCTCAACTCAAGGCCTCTTACTAACTTCTCCAAGCTTTCAACTGCATCACATGATCTTCAGTGAGACAGTTTTTTCAGTTGTCATGGAGATGGATCTGTTTGTCAGAGGATGAAGACCATGTGATGTGACTGAAAGTTACTAAGAGACCTTGAGCTGAGATCCTTTTGTCAGATGTTTAAATTGTTGGTCTTTTGGCATATTCCCACTTTTGTTATAAATAACGAGCCCGTGAAACTTGCTCAACAATGTGACCACACTGTTTGTGTCTTAGTGTACTGTCTGGCTCCGGTGAAGGTCGGTCCATGTCGCGCCGCGTTTCCTCGCTGGCGTTACAACGCTGCAACGGGCAGCTGCGAGAGCTTCATCTTTGGAGGCTGCAAGCCAAACTACAATAACTACCTGAGCCAGGAGGAGTGTGAGTTGGCCTGCAGGGGTGTCACAGGTAACTGCTGCACCTGAGAGTGCATGCAATACACACAGTAGGCACATAGTAATACACCTCACCCAGCACGCGCAATATACGTAGCTTTAATCTGTTAAAATAATACTACTAATGCATCATACAGTAAGTAGTACTGTAACAGATAATACTACATTTTCTGTACTACTGTCTTCTGTTTTCTGTCCACAGCAACAACAGTCAGGGGTGCCGCTCTGCCCTCGGCCGGTCAGTCCCATAATGCATCTCTTCATGTCAGCTCTGCACCATGATGTGAAAGATAAGTAACTGTGTGTGTCTGTGTGTGCACGCTCAGCTGTGTGCGGGTCGGCGTGTCAGACTGATCAGTGGATGTGCAACGGCACCTGTTGCCTGGACAGAAGTCTGGAGTGTGACGGCGTGGGGCACTGCAGCGATGGATCAGACGAGGAATCATGCATCAGATGTAACACACACACAGTAAACCCTAATCAGCCACACCTGACCTCTGACTTTTCAGACTGAACACACACTCAGTGATCTTCCTCCTCTTCCTCAGTGAATCAGACCTTCTCCCGCCTGCTGAGTCTCGACGTGAACCATAGAATAGGTCAGTTTGTTGACTGTCTCTGAGCAACACCTACCGCTTGAAGCTAACAAGCTACATGCTAATAATCATTACCCCCCCCCAGCTCAGTGCACGGAATCCCCCCGCACCGGGCCATGTCGTGCGAGTCACACCCGCTGGTATTACGACCCTCTGAACAAGAAGTGCCACCGCTTCACCTACGGTGGCTGTGATGGAAACCAGAACAACTTTGAGAAGGAAGACAGGTGCAGAACAGAGTGCGACGGAGTAACAGGTACAGGCTACTCATCTACTAACACAGCAGAGTACCATGTTGTAGTACTGTGTACGCACAGAGCACCACAGCTGCAGCAGTATCTGTGACGGAGTGACCAGTACACATGACCCACTGTGTAACATGAGACAGTACCATGTACTGCAGCGTAGTACCGCACTGTCCATTCAGCTTCATCTAGTCGCCTTGTTTGTCCAGATCTGTTTGGCACCGTGTGTCTCCCTGTGTTTCTGCAGAGCACAACGTGTTCTCTAAAGGGATGTTTGAACGATTCGAGAAGGTTGATCGCAGCGACGACGACGACGACAGTGGCTCAGGTCAGAAAATGTCCTTCACCTCTGATTCAGGTATTTTCCACAGTTTAAACATCAAACGGACATTTTCTCACGGGGCGGTGCCTTTGTTCTGACCAAGTCAAGTGGGCGTGTCCTCTCAGTGTAGCAGTACCAGTGCTACTACAGTAGTGGTACATGAGTACAGAGAGCAGAGTTGTGAAGTGGGAGGAGATATTTCAGAGGCTCATGGGTATTGTAGTGTTAGGCGTCAGCCAACATGATGGACACCAGGGGAGTGAGAGGGCAGCTCTCAGACTGGATCTGTGGATGTGAAAGATCTGTAGCGTGTAAAAGATTCTGCAAAAGCAACTTATAAAACACGAACATGTTGTCAAGGCTACAGTGTGTCAGCTGACAGGAAGTGACCTAACTGTCTCCTCCTCAGGCTCCATAGCGCTGGCTGTGATTCTGACGGTGGCCATCTTGGCTCTGCTGGCCATCCTCACCTACTGCTTCCTGAAGGCCAGGAGACAACGCACCCATAGGCCTGTCACCACAGGCACCGCCCAAGTGCCGCTGTCAGAGCAGGAAACGCTCGTTTACAACAGCACCACCAAACCTGTGTGATGCCATCACCTGTTTGACATGTTGGTTCATTTTCTTCTGTGTATCAGTAGGAACCAGACAGTATTGTACTGGAACCTGCTTTGTCCAGTTAAGTTCCTAGTCAGTGGACGGAGGGTCAGGGAGTGTCAGAACCTGGACCGGACTTTGGACTGGAGCTAATAAGCTTCTATGTCTCTGTGAAACTTGCTTGGATCTGTTAGTGTGTCAGGTTTCTGTCATTTTATCTTTAACATATTTATGATTTCCGTAGGGGTATCGGGCTTGTTTTAATTCAGAGTTAACATTTTTTTGATTGTAAATGTGAAGTTTAATGTTGATTTAATAGCCTCAGGGCCATGTCTGCTCTCATCATGTTTTTATAGTTTTTTTTTATGATGAACTTGTCAATAAAGCCACGTGGGAACAGTAAACACACGACACCTTCTCTGGTTTTCGAGTCTATTGAGTGTTTATCAAAAAATAGAAATGCTGAATGTAAAAGCGACAAAACATCTCATCACAAGGTCCAGCGTGTTACTTTGTATTTCGTCCACCTGATGACGTCTAAACTGTCTCCATGGCGACCCAGGAAGCCCCTGAACTGTCACCCCCTCTCTTGGAGGAGCTGTCTCCTCAGGGTCTGGGAGCCAAATGGTGCAGCTCTGCCCTGTAGCCAGGGAGTGACGTGAGCAGCCTAGCACTAGACTCAGCAGGGAA